GTGGACTCATGTGGAATGATATACTTTGTGGAGTTAGAGATATTAATTCTTGCTTACTTATATTTGAATATTATCCTGGGATTAGGTTCGGGAAGTCCGGGTGGGGGTTTTTTTTTTCTTGTTATATAGTATTGTGTAATATTTGTGATGTTTTTTTTTTACGATGAAAATAATAAAAAATTTTATATGGAAAAAAAAATAATAGAATATGAACTTGCAAAATTAAGCTCATTTCATTGGGCCAAAACAACCCAAAAGTAATCTTCAGATCGTATATTAAGCTTCAAGTAGTATAATGGGCCATAATTTTAAATACATGATACACGGGGTTTCATTGTTAATTAAACAGTTTTAGGAAAATTCTCAACAATCCATTTTACTTCCAGACCTTTTTAATTAACAAATTGTCACAGAAATTACACTTTTGTTTTTCCTGTTCATTGCATACACCAGGGATACCTAACCCCCAGGCCACAGACTGATACCAATCCGTGGCCTGCTGGGAACAGGGCTATGCAAGCCTGGGCAATCTGCTGGGGTGGGCCGTGGAGGCGGTGGGTGGTGGTGCGGGCGGGCAGGGGTGGGAGGTGGGGAAGTGCGGGGGCAGGGCGGGGCGGTTTTGGGGCACTCGGTCTTTAAAAGGTTCACCATCACTGGTATATAGTTATCAGGGATGGTAGCAACAACTAGAGTAAGTTTTGCAAAGAAGCAGAGTAAATACAATTTTTGGGGAAAAGTATCCACTCTTTTGACATGCTAGATCAACTTTCTACATCTTGATACTCTCCAACATCCATGATGAAATAGAACATGGGAGGATTCAGCATTCAACACGTCTGGAAAATACCACGATAGAAAATGCTAACTGTATGCTGAATACATACAATTTTTTGAATGCCTAATAGGATACAAGGACAATTTCAAAGATGTAAACCTGTGCCTTTTGGAAAATGCTCATTTCTGCACAGGGAATAACACAACTGCTAGGTTGCTGAATGCAATCCATACAGTATTTATTTTTATTTTTATTTATTTTACAAAATTTATATGCCGCCCTTCTCCCCATGGGACTCAGGGCGGCTCACAGCATGTTAAAACAATATACAGAATTACCCCTTCTAAAAACCAATTAAAACCCAAATATTAGTGGCTGTGACTATTTAAAATCATTAAAAATTATCCCTACTTAAAATTCACCCTAGGTCAGGCCCGCTTGTTGAAAAAGCC